TGTTTTCTATGGCCGTTTGCGTGTGTACGGTGCTCCTCCACCACCACCACGACTCAGCGCGCTTGCTTCATGTCGGTGCCGGTGGTGTGAGGTGCTTTTAGGCGTACTTCTGTCGTCTGGAAGGGCACGGCAGTTGCATGTGGTTCAAGCTTGTCCTTTTTCGGTGTTGCTCCTGTGGTTGCTCGTTGCCCGAGGTTTTAGCAAGAAGCTATCATGGTGTATCATTGGTGTGGACAGTGGGACCGGCACCCCTCAGCGCACCCTCTCGCTGACGCCGGTCATGATTTAGCTCGTTTGTGTCGCTCTCCAGTGAGGGTCCCGCTGTGTTTCGGGTACGTGCCAAGCGCGTTCATCCGCACCTTTGCGGGCACCCGCGCTATTCACTGACGTTGACTGACCTAGAACACCTTGACTTAGTCCCATCTGTTGCCAGCCAATTTGCAATCACACTATTACACGGGGCAACCCGCACTAATCAATAATCAATCGCACTACATCGGTCGGGCACCCGGACTATTCAACCGCACTATAGCGGGCCCCTCACTGTACCACGTCCCCCCATCCTCCCAACACATATGCCGTGCACACGCTTTGGTGAACCGAAACACCGGGCCTCACAGCACGATGACGAGGGCGGCCCGCCTCCTCTCATGCAGGGCTCCTCTTCTGACGACAACGGGATGGCTGCGCACGGCGGCGCCGCCGGTGGCGCCGGCGCCGGCCTATTGGCCGCCCACCGGCCGCAGTCCGACTCCGCGGGAGAACATTCCGAGGACCGTTCCGACTCGGAGGATGATGGCGACTCGGATGACGACGATTCAGACGGGGATTCGGATGACGAGGAGGAGGATGATTCCGACGATGGCGATGATGATGACGGGCATGGCGGGCACGAGGCAGAGATGGGCGGGCAGGGGGTGGACGGGGAAGAAGGTGTGCTAACTAGCGGCCTTGTTTTTTTTTTGCCGTAGTGGTGTGGTTCCACACCGCGCGTCTGGATGTGCTAGGGGGCGGGGGCGGGGGGGGGGCGGGCGTACCCATGCTTGGCATATCTTAGCCCGTTGTGAAGTAGTTGTTTTGTTTCCCTGCTGCACACTTGTTGAGCTGGTGTGTGTGTGGTCATGCTCATGCCTTGTTACTCTTGGTATCGTTGTTCCTCCGACACCGTTGCAATTCCCTCCGCGAGAAGACGTGATGGACGAGGAGGAGGAGGAGGAGGAAGAGGAGGAAGACGACGACGAGGAGGGGGACGAGGAAGAGCTGGACGAAGAGGAGATCGATCTGGACGACTTCGACGGCGGCGGGGACGGCGATGACGACGGGCACCGAGACGAGGAGGACATGTACGTCCTAGGGTGAGTCCGACCCGACCTGGCGGGAGAGAGAGAGGGAGGGAAGCAGGGGGCGGGGGAGGGAGAGAGGGAGGCAAGGAAAAGCAAGGGCGTACCATGTTTTGATGATACAGGCGTTTTTTGTTTTTTTTTTGCGTGCCACAAAAAAGTTCATGGGAGAGTCTGGGAGGGCGAGGGAAGGCAAGCGCGTACACCATGTTTTGCCGACTTTATGATAGAGGCGGCTTTATTTTTTTGTTCTTTTTTTTTTTTACGTGCCGCTTCAGCACCCTTGTCGCATTCAGCTCACTTCGACCTGGCGACCCTCTGTTCTGTTCCCTCGTCCTCCCCCTTGCCAACCTTGGCCCCGTTCCCTCGAAACTCTTGGCTGCCACATTCCATATTATGTATCCCCCTTCCCCTGTCTTTATCGCCCTCACCAGC